CCGATTGGGTTGAAATTTCATATGGGTATTTCGATGGTTTTCTGGATAATTGAAATATACAAGTGGACGCAGTAGGTGGCACTGCTATCGGTACGTCGACTACAAAACGGCTTCAGCGATTGGTTTGACATTTTCATTACGTCAAACAACAAAAAAATACAAAAGACACAGAGAATGAAAATAGGTGTGAATATATGATAGTAGCAATAAGTGAGCAGAAAAAAAAACAAAAAACAACAGAGGATATGTTCGAAACTAGCTGAACATATCCTTACTGAAGACGGACAATATATGGCAGAGTAGAATAATATTGAAACTATTGGAAAAGAAGCTAACAACCAGAGGAGAGAAATCAAGGAATCTGCTTGCATTCTTCTGAACGGAGACAATAGCATTGCTTCTTGTTCAGTTGATATAGACAGAACATTATATTCACTACTAAAATCTGAACATAAAAATGGTAAATTCAAGATTAATTAATGAAATCATCCTGTAACTCATTTGATCGCCAACGTCCCCAATTGTCAATGAAAACTGAAAAGCTTCATGACAAATACGACTTAGCTATTGAAATAATCATATTTTATGTTGAAAACGGGAGCAGAATCGGTCCCGAAACGTTCAGAGATGAGTGAAAATTTGATATTTTCTCTATATACCTTTATTTCTCATCTCCAAACTTTTTTCAATACAAATCGTCACTGACAAGCTAGTGAATTTTTCTTTTAGGCTCTCTGATAGAAAAATTCTTTAAACGCAGTGACATTTCGGGGCAAATCATCTGATTTGTCCTTACTACACGTATATTGAAATAATATTCATATTTTCATTTTATAGAAACGAGGAGAGAAAATCTCGAAAAATTTGGAGTAATGAATGTACCACCTCCTCGATTAACCTACAGATAGAATTTGTCTTTGTTTGAAACATTATTTTATGCGAAGTACCTCCTACATAAGTGAATTGCTCCTATTCGAAATGTATTATTAGTTATACCACAGATTACCAAACCAAAAATGAAAATTGAACAATTGTTCATTATTTAAAAAAAAAATCGATGAAATAAAATTTATAAATGATGAAAACAATTTAATCGAACAAATAATAATCAATATAAAAAAAATCCGAACATTCATAGTAAAAGCTCAAAAATATTTCAGGTTGTTCTTAACCATTTATTTGCTTTTTCTAAAACAGCCCCCTGATTTTTTCTCTGGGGTGCCATTAAGAACACTGTTTACAAAAACGGCTCCATTGCCTGCATATAGCAGAAATACGGCAGCAAACTATTAAGTTCGAAAGGTCAGTGAGAAGAGTGTAAAAAAAGCAAATGAATGAATGTATGAACGCAAACTGAAATATTTTTGAGCATTTTCTATGAAAGAAAACTTAATGTTCGGTATTTTTTGCAAATTGATTAAATCGTGTTTTCAAGATTCATAAATATTATTTCATTGGATAATAAACACTTGCTTAATTATCAGTTTTGGTTTCGTATAACTGATAATGCATTCAGAATAAGAGCAATCCAATTATGTAGGAGGTACTTCACACTGAATAATGTGTCAGACAAGGAGTTTGGGATCACACGTTAAAAGGTAAGGCCCCCGTCATTCCTTGCTCGCACAAGACTTTCGAAGACTTTTGAGGGTTGCTCGTAAGGGGCAACCGAATGACGGATAGAACAAATTTTAGAACAAAATTTTAGGAAAAGTTGAGCCAGAACCGCTATGTTAGACAAAGATGAGTATCTCCATACTATTTATGAAATTTTTTTTCATTGAAGTTAACATTTTGAGTGATGTTTTGATACACCGTCATATCAGAGAGATCGAAAACTATCTTAAAATGGAATGAAATATCCAGGTCCGCATTCAAAAAAATAAAGTTGATGATAACTGCTCGAGAAATAAGAGTCCGATTTCTAATTTGACAATTCCATTTTGTAGAGGAGGAAAATTAGCAATGATGAGGTGACATTCATTTTGAAATATCTCCTCAAATAAACCGAGTAAAAAATAAACACGAATTTGCATATTTTCCTTTTTTTTCCACTATCTCCGGAAATAATTGTAATTCTCTCAATTTTTCCAATAAAACAGCATTTTGTTGAGCATGAAATGGTGCAACTTTTCGCTAATTCCACCCACTGTGTATCGTTTGAGGTCACCGAGATCACCATGCTAAGTCACGAATTTGTGTATATGTGCAAAGCATCAAGCTCCAACAGGTTAATACAGAATTGTATATAAAAATCGAAGGCAACTTCATCACTACAGTATCTTATATAATTTTTTGCAATCCTAAAATTCCTTCATTCCATTTATCTAATTAGTACTAAATAGGTACCTAACTAATTTCCGTTTTTTTTATATTGTATTCAATTTTTCAGGCACCTATATGTTTGTATAGCTGTACCATCCATTTCAATTTTAGGAAAATCAAGTTCATCATAATTATTCATTATTCAAAATTTTTTGGGATTTTCTCTCCTCGTTCCTATAAAATAAAAATATGAATATTATTTCAATATACATGTAGTAAGGACAAATCAGATGATTTGCTCCAAAATGTCACTGCGTTTAAAGAATTTTCCCATCAGACAGCCTGAAAAAAAAAATTCATTAGCTTGTCAGTGACAATTTGTATTGAAAAAATTTGGAGAAGAAAAATAAAGGTATATAGAAAAAATATCAAATTTTCACTAATCTTTGAACGTTTCGAAATATTTTTATTATTCATTTTATCAATACCTATACCTCAATACTTCTTCTCCAAATTTTTTCAATACAATTTGTCGCACTGACAAGCTTTTGGGGCAAATCAACTGATTTGTCCTTACTACATATATTGAAATAATATTATCATTTTTATTTTATTGAAACGAGGAGAGAAAATCCCAAAAAATTTGGAATAATGAATTTACCACCTCCTCGATTAACCTACAGACAGTATTAATCATCATTTCATTGCGTTATGGACTCAAAACTCCAGGCAAACCTATAATGAGAATCACGTCTTGGGAGTAGAATGGTTATAAATTTAGACAAATCAAAATGTGTAAAAATTGGGTCTGAGTGGTGAAGCATCAGTATCGTTATGTTTCTGTATGTTTCTGTCACATACATACTGTGGAGGCGTTCACTGTCACTGTTGAGTGTTGAAGAAGTAGTACAGAATCGTGAAAAATTCAAGGCTCTCTAAGAATAACCAAGAAACCTAGCAGTTTAAACCAAAATGGACGTAATCTTAAAATTCAAATCGAATGGAAATAAGTCGCAATATTGAATGTGTGGCGCAAATTTGTACCCAGGTTTCAGTTAATCTTATGGAAGACTATACAGGGTGAATCTGTAAGTGAGGTTTTTTATTCAACAGGGTATGTATCTCGCCAAAGTAAGTTGTTTGTCCTAATGCTTCATTTCCCTCTTAAAGTTTTTTGGTTCCACTTTCGAATGATAATTAATAGGTTCAAAATCTAAAAACGGTGTTTGATTAGTGTTCATGATAAAATAATGCAACTGTAGAGTATCTAATGCTGGACTAATAACGGCTTTTTTGCGTTATTTTATTTTAGAAAATGTAATCAAAATGTTTCATAGTTGGAGTCTTCTATGAACCATTCAATACCTGTAACAAACAACTTATTTTGATGAGATATACAGGGTGTTTGGTAGCTGGGTGCAAACCTTGAAGGGGGTGATACACTAGCTCATGTAGAACATATTCATACAAACATTTTTATTTTCTAGCGCGTTTTTGATTTTTAAGGACTTAGCTAGATAAATGATACCTCGAACGAAAGAGCAATAACTACGCATGTTTTTAAAAGTGTCTGAACACCTGTATGTATTTTATTTATTTTTTTAATTGGCATCAAAGGTCAGATTTTTTATTTTCTTTCTTTTTTTGTAAAGTTTAAATGCTCTGTACATAAATTTTTTTGACACAATGGTGCTTCAAACTACTTCAATACGATTGGGGACACATAAGACTACTAAAATAAATGAAAAAAACTGGACATTTCTGTTAAGATTCGAAGTTATTAGCATTTAATTGACCAATTTTGGGTTTTTGCACTAAAAATCGTAAAAGTTCCCTTAAAAATCAAAAACGCGCTAGAAAATGAAAATGTTTGTATGAATATGTTCTACATGGGCTAGTGTATCACCCCCTTCAAGGTTTGCACCCAGCTACCAAACACCCTGTATATCCTGGTAAAAAAAACTTGCTTTCAGATTCACCTTGTATGTACGTTATCACCTGATATACCTACGGAAAAAATTTTCAAGTTTCCCAATGGCGAAATATGCTTCTGCTTTTCATATTATCTAAACTTAAAGCCATTTCGTAGAGGAGAGTTCCTGATAATCAATGAGAAACATTTGGTTGCTCCTAATTTTGTGTTCAGTTTTCAAATATAAAAAAGTAATTCACTTTTTTTCAGTATAGTATGTAGCATATATTCACATAATAATCTGCTCTATTTTGCAAAATTCTGTGCATGTCTCTGCAAAAATCTTATTATTAAGAAATCTTGGATCCTGGATCACTGAAGTTTGAGGAGTATAAAATCAGGTAGTTTTTAGTAGAAAAAAAAACTGTATTGAATGGACATCGAAGTAAGTATTCACCATTTGTGTTCTGGTAGCGAATCTTATGTGAAAAGAATAATTCATTTGATTCAATATAGAACTGTGCGCATATCAACATATATATGTATACATATACATTTAGTGTTAAGGTGAAGGTGATGGTGACTTATTGATTCCTATGTTTACATATATATTTGAAGGTTATATTTCGACATTATTCGAGTATTGGTAGATCCAATCACAAAGCTGTTTTAATCGATGATAATTATAAAGTAACGTCCGATATAATTATTTGCGCGAATAATTATTCGATCTTTTAATCAGTGTCGCTCCCGTATTCTGATAATTTGAAGTATTTCCAGAAATATAATGAATGGGAATGATAATTGCCGGAAAAATAATTACCTTGGCATTCTGAAATCTTGAAAAAACATATGCACAATAACAACTTCCACATGATGCGAGATTCAAACATTATCTCACTTGTCCAGGGCCAACTGAGAGTCGCGGATGTCAGACGAACTACCAACTGAATCGACAGAACAACAACATGCTGTCGCTCCTTCTCCTCACCACTTTCAAGACATAGTGACGTAGGATCATCATTAGAAGAACGTTAATGGGGATTCCATCATCAGGATATTAGCAAGTGAGCCACTGATAATTTCGCTCATGTTTCCATAGCAGACAACTTGGGAAATGACAATGGTCGCCATAGCAAATGTTTTTCCAAAACTGATTTCACGCAAGGAATATTTGAACCGATGATATAATGTTTATGAGATGAGATACTGAACAAATACGTTTTTTCTGTGGCGGGAAAAAAATTTGGCATTTCATCTCTGTTGGCAGGTTATAAAATGTCACTTTTCATAAGTTACTTTTTTCTCGTGGGAGTAAAAGTGAGTAGTTTTTGCCCGAATATATATCACATAAACATATATATACACTGTTGATGGCTTTTGTTGTGCTATAGTTCCGAAAAATGAGTCAATAATACCGTCTCTGAGAAAGAACTGCAAGTCCTTTTATCTTCCATTCGACTTCGCGGTTTCGTATATTACTAAACAACCACTTAATTTGCAATTTTTCGAAATCAAATCACAGAATCAGACTGACAGAAGTGACATCAGATATTTGATTATTTCAAAAGAATGATAAAGATGCCTACAACGCAGGTGTCCCTACTGTTAAAAACTTAAAATTTCAGGTCGATAATTTTCAGATTTCAAAATAATGTTATATCTTCTCAATATTGATTCGTCCTCTCTTCAGTCACAGAAAAAAATAGTGTATTATACACGGGAAAAATATTAGATTTAAGCTCACGGTTTTTTGTCTCCCTCCGCTACGCGTCGGGAGACAACACAACCTGGAGCTATAAAATCTACTACCTTTTTGCCTTGTATAATAAATATCTAGTTAATCTCTATATAAGTAAGTCTGGTCTGGTGGTTAGATAGGTTCCTGAAAACAAATATTGGAGTAGTTTTGATTTTCTGATAAAAGGAATGTTTTTTAGGATTAGTGATTCACACGAGACCAACGAGACGAGACATTCATAAAGTCTCGTCTCGTCTCGCCGATGAAATATGAAGTCTTGTCTCGAGTCTCGTCTCGCAGCCTCCAGTCTCGTCTTGTCTCGCGTCTCGTACGTGAGTCTCGCAAATGTATCGCAATTTCTTCATGCATAATCTTGGTCCAGTCTAGTACGGGATATTTATCTTTACCTTCTTTCTAGGTATAATGTAGAAGTAGGAAGACAAAATTACAAAACAAATAACATCATTCATTGAAAAGTAAGTTCCTAATAGGTACATACTCACATCATACATCTAAACAAGAAAAAAAAAACATTCGGCAGATTCATTATTAAGGCGATCCCGATGTTTTCTTATAGTTAACGCAGCACGTGAGAATAATCTTTGCGCCGGGATAGAAGTGGCCGGTATGCTTAGGAGATCTCGTGCCATCAAACGTAGAATGGAAAATTCAGAAGCATGAATTTTCCACCATTGCAATATATCTGTGTTTTTATTACACCGAGGCACAGAAAAAGATTTTTGAAGCTCCTGCATCCATACTCCCGTTGAAACAAAGTTATTATTTATCTTAGACTATTTAGCACAGAATGACTTATTTATAGATTTTCAGGTAGTCATTCAATCTGCGAATAATTTTCTTCCCACAAACCGTTTTTGCGTGAAAAAATAAAAACCATTTTAATGCATTTGTAGGAGGCTAATGCCTTATTTCGTTCAGAATAATGACATTCGTCGATTACGTTGCGGTCTTATTTTGAAAAGTATTCATAAACGTGACAGTTTTTCACATTGTGAAAATTTATTCAATCGATAAAGCGGAAATGAAAGTTCAACGCCTTATAGCTCGAAAGTTCCTATGCATATTTATATTTGTTTTGTCTTATAGGTACTTATAAGTCAACTGAAAGTAGCAATAGGCTCCCCAACTATTTTTTCATCTTTGAATATCTCTATTTGCCGTGACGAATATTAACCTGAAGTTGTGATTCAGGTTTCCTATTATAAAGAAAAACGATAAATACAAACATGATATGCTAATTAACATTTACTTCCCCGTGCATATATAGGTGAAAAGTTTGTGTGAGTAGGTTACAGCAACGGGAGCTTGCAGCCGTTTAGTTATTTTTGTTTGTCATTCTTTTGATAACATTATTCGATCAAAATACCAAGAACTTAACTTAGTACTATCAAGAATACAGCATTGTTAGAATGAGCAAACAAGTAATATTTTCCATGCACGACCGCGGCGTAAAGTGGCACTTTTCCATGCACCTGGTTTCGCCGGCGAATAAAGTGGCGTATACAGGGTGTTGCGAAATTCAACCGACAACGCTTGACAGCTGATAGCCCTCGTGATTTTATAATCACTGAGATAGGGACATACGGTCTTCAAGTGTTCAGTTCTCGAGAAACAGGGTGTTAAAGTTAATAAATAAAAATAGTTGTTTCGCAATATCTCAAGAAAAGTTGAATATAATGCATTCAACTTCGGTATATGGTTTCATCTTTGAATGGGTCATTTTTTTACCTGGAAGCCATTCCGGACATTTTATCCAGTGGTGTCCTACAGGAAGGTGTGCTAACTTTCCCTCCCATTTTTTCTACGCCAATGATTAAATTTCAATCAATTCCAATTCCTCGAATTCATTCTTCAATTTTGTTCGAAAAATGCATCGCCTTCAACCGAGCTGAAATAAACAGTTTTCTAGATATTCGACCCAAAATAGAAGATTGCATAGTAATATTCCATCATTTTCAGTAGTAGAGAATTGCAAAAATATTTTTCTGGTGTTGAGTAGATTCAATACTATTCAGATCTCACTCTGTAGCTAGACAGAAATAGTTATTCCACTCATAAAGAGAAAACAAAAATTTTTGTAATCTTCTACTACTAAAGAAGATGAAAAATTACTATGCAAACTTCTATTTTGTGTCAAATATCTCGATAACTGTTCATTTTAGTTCAGTTGAAGATGATGCAGTTTTTCAACATAATTGAACAATCAATTCGAGAAATTGAAAATAATCGAAATTTCATCAGTGGCGTAGAAAATATGCGAGGAAAAGTTATCACAACCCTCTGTAGCGCACCTCTGGGTAAAATTATCGGAATGTCTTTCTGGTCAAAAAATTAACCATTGAAAGATGAAACCATATACCGAATTTGAATGCATCATATCCAATTTTTCTTGAGATATTGCGAAAAACCTATTCAAATTTCTCAACTTCAACGCCCTGTATCTCGAGAACTGAACACTTGAAGACCGTATGTCCCTATCTCAGTGATTATGAAATCACAAGGGTTATCACCTGTCAAGCGTTGTCGGTCGAATTTCGCAACACCCTGTATAACTAACTCGAAATAAGCATTCCTATAGAATTCAGGACATTTATGTTTCAGTTGTGATGGTGCATTATCTAATATTACAGTTCTCCTTTGATATTTCTGAGATGCAAATTGATATGATCGAAACTCAACTGATGTATCAAAAATACTGGTTTGAATAATTGGATTGCTATGTTTGAAATTCTAAGCACTCAATAGCAACCCAAGAACTTACATTATTTGTGAGTTTATTGAGATTCTGGAAATTGTTAATTTGAAGGATTCATGGGATTTCAGGGGGAATTTAGGTAATTCAAGGAGCATATAAAAAACTTTGTGAATTAAAGAGAACTGTGGGAATTTGAAGAAATTGTGGGGATTTGAAAAAATTGTAGGAATTTGAGGTGCATTGTGGTAATTAAAGGGAAATTGTGAGAATTCATGGGCAATAATTGTGAGTATTCATGGGAAAGTTTTTTTTTTATTTTTTTTTATTTTTTATCGCTTGGAGCGCACGAAAGGGAATCCCTATAATGTTCAAAGAAAATCGTGCGTTCCTAGGGAGGATAGGGACAGGAGGTAGGTATTGGAATTTTTTTTGAACTTTTGGAGATTATATGTTGTTGGGAATACTTCCACAGGCAATGAATTCCAGAGCCTAGCCGTTCTATGGATGAAGGAGTCTTGATAAAGTGCTGTTCGACATCTTTCGAGGTTGACAACGAAAGGATGTGCTGACTGGGCTTGTCTAGTTCGTCTGACTGGTATTGCTAGTGAAGGGATGATAGCAGAGATTTCCGAAGAACATTTCCCGTGGAAGTATCGATAGAAAAGTGAAAGGTCGCCGACCTTTCTACGGTGTTCCAATGATGTCAAAGAGTGAGTGAGTGTGGCGTCACCCACCAGGCGAATGGCTCTTCTCTGGATGGAATCTAAGAGCATCAGCGTATGTTTTGGTGCTGAACCCCATATGTGGGAACAGTATTCTAGAACAGGCTGTATCTGCGCTTTGTAGATCATGAGAAGCTATTGAGGTGTAAAGTAGCTTCACGACTGAGCTAAAATGAACAGTTATCAAGATGTTTGACCCAAAATAGAAGTTTGCATAGTAATTTATCATCTTCTTCAGTAGTAGTCGATAAAAAAAATTTTGTTTTCTCTTTATGCGTGGAATAACTATTTCTGTTCAGCTACAGAATGAGATCTGAATAGTATCTAATCTACTCAACACCAGAATAATATTTTTGCAATTTTATACTACTGAAAATGATGAAATAATACTATGCATTCTTCTATTTTGGGTCGAATATCTCGAAAACTGTTCATTTCAGCTCAGTTGAAGGTGATGAATTTCTCCAACAAGACTGGAGAACGAATTCGAGGAATTGGAAATAATTGAAATTTAATCAGTGGCGTAGAAAATATGGGAGGAAAAGTTGACACATTCCCTTGTAGGGCACCACTGGATAAAATGTCCAGAATGGCTTCCTGGTCAAAATATGATCCATTCAAATATGAAACCAAATATCGACGTTGAATGCATTATATTCAATTTTCCTTGAGATATTGCAATAACTATTTTTATTTCTTTACTTCAACGCCCTG